TTCAAAAAAGTTAATCCAAACAATTTAAAAAACTGTTATCATTTCAACATTTTATAAATTAATTATAAATTTTAGCTTTTATATACTTTAAATTAATTTTTTATTAAATAATTTTAAGAACACTCTCTCTCAATTAATTGATATATAAATTAAAGAGATTTGATATAAATAAAGATATAATTTTTTAAAAGTTTTATAATTAAAGATATGATATCGTCATATTCGTCCTTGGAGCAAATCTTCAGAGGTTTAGGGTGGGAAAGGTACCATGGAGGAGACCCTGATCTCTCTCAATTCCACAAACACTCTTCTATTGATCTTATCTCACTCCCAAAAGACTTCTCCAAGTTCAACGCCGTTTACATGAATGATATTGCCGTTAAGAATCCAAATATCTTCCACGTTCGAGATATGTGAGCAACTCCTATATAGCTTCCTTCATATATTATATATATGATATTGTCGTTAATAATCCAAATGTCTTCCATGTTCGGGATATGTGAGCAACTCCTATATAGCTTCCTTCATATATTATATATATGCTTTCTTTTTCTCTTATGTGTCACTTTAGTTTCTTCTTCATTTATGGTATATATATATATATAGTAATTGTATGGATTGATGTTGTTAATTAGAGTTTCATTGTAAGATAGGTCTTCTATATGTAAAGAGATATATGTATGTTAGTACAAGGTTTGTATAATAATTAATGTTTTTGTAAGTTCATATATAATAATGTCGTGGAGCTTGACAATAATTTTATTTTTTTAGTAAACTTGCCAATTAATTATATATCACAAAAAATAATTCTTTCATTTTCTCAAACTCGTTCTCTCCAATTAATTGCATGCAAGATCATTTAAATCAATCCAAATCTCCTATTAAGAGTGTCAAGTTCTAATCATTGGGGTGTCGATGAGGCTTGGCACCAATTTGGAATTTATGATTCCGTACATGTGATCCCTCCCTTTTTTTGATGTGCCTTGTTAGTTGGCAGTAAGGCGCTGCTCGGCTAGGTTCAAGTACTGTTGCTTTCTCAAGAGTCAAGAGATACGTATGATGTATATATATGCATAGAAGAAAGGGCCAGCTTCCACAATATTCACAAGGCTGATGGTAAGAGACTAATTATTAGTTATTAAAAAGAATATCATCCAAAAAATTATAAGTTAATTAGTAAGGCAATTTGCTATTATTTTGTATTATTAGATATTTTATATTTAAAAATTATTACAGATAAGCCTTTTATCAAATCCAAGTTCTATGGTAAAAAGCTATTACCCACAAAATCATTTTCTATTAGATCTATATATAATTATTTATATCTTTACAATTTAATAATTTAAATTGTGTTATCTTAATACAAAAGAGAATTTGTCTTTATCAAAAACATTTTTTATTTAATGATTAATTTTGGAGATTAGTGTATGTCAATTTTAACTCTTAAAAATAATTAGAATATTAACTTCTACATAAAAATTAAAATCTCATTTTATTAAATATTAATATTTAAATTTAAAAATTTATTATACATCATAATATAATTAGTTTTTAAATTTAAATATTAATATTTAATAAAATAATTTTTTAAATTTTGAATTAAATTTTAATTCAATAAAATAATATAATTTAATGTTAAAATTTTAATGTATTTTAAAAATCGAAATTGATATCTATATATATATTGTTAATTTTGTATAGTCTTGAGAGACAATTCGAAATTCACAAAACATATCTAATGATTTATATATCCAAACATGATGAGAAATGCAGTCAAATTTACAATCAAATAATAGGAAGTACGGACACTTGGCTCTTGTAATCTAATAATTAGTATCACTGAAGAAGTGCATATATCTTTTTTTTGAGTGGGTTTCGAATCCGTCCAAAAAATTCAAAAAAATAATAATAATAGGAAGTACGGAAAGAGCTTAACTTGGGACTGCATGATCCAACGTGGAGAAAGAGGTCCCAACGGAGGGGGAGGAGGTGGGGTGTCACGTGGAGTTTGATGATGACCACATCAGCTACAACGTCATGATGAGATGTGCCAAGTCACTCGCTTTTAGCAGTTTTAAGATGAAAGATGATTTTAAAATAAATATTTTTATAATTTTTTATATAATTTAAAGTGTCATAAAAATAGTTAATTCTTTTAATTTATATAAAATTTATAATATTAAATATATTAATTTATTTAATAATTTATAAAAATTATATAAAAAAATTACATGCACATGCCACATCTTCTTAACATTTGTGCCACGTGACTACGAAAAGTTTTTTTTTTTCCTTTTTTGTTAGTCCTACGAGACTTCAAAAAGTTTGCATGAAAAAATAAGGATTGATACAAAGGAAAATGCCTTTTACATTT